TTTAAGTCACTGCGCAAATGTTCAAGTCGTGCGCCTCAACAAACGCCTCAAGGCACGCCTCAAGGCACGCCTCAAGGCGTGCGCCTCAATCTATGAGGTGTAAGCCTCTTTACTTGCGAAAAAAACCTACGCCTTGATACCCAACCAGTACGCCTCAGCTTGAGACGCGCCTCAAAACCCGCCTCATAAGCGCCTTTTTAAACCATGATGACAAGAAAAAACCCTGGTGTGATCACTGCAAGAAAATATGGCACACTAGGGAGACTTGTTGGAAAATTCATGGCAAACCACCAGGAGCAGGAAAGCAAAAAATTGAGAAGGCCTTACAAACAACTGTGACTGAGACTCAACAAGAATCACAAGTCAAGTTCAATCAGCCTTCATTCACTCAGGAGCAGATAGAGCAACTTCTTTACCTCCTACATTCCCAGAAAACCCAAAATTCCCAGAAAGAATCCAAACCAGAATCTTCCTTTTGTTCTTATGCCCAAAATGGTACCCATTCATCATTTTTTGTTCTGGGAAATCTAAAAATTCCTGGGTCATTGACTCAGGGGCTACGGACCACATGACCTCTATTTCAAATCTTTTTCTTTCATATAAACCCTGTGCAGGGGATAAAAAGGTTAAGGTTGCAGATGGTTCTTTATCAGCCATTGCAGGGATGGGAAATATTAGCATTTCCTCATCTCTGAATCTATCCAAAGTCCTTCATGTCCCTAATCTATCCTGCAATCTTGCTTCAATTAGTCAAATAACTAAAGATCTACAATGTTGTGTTATTTTTTATCCTTCTTATTGCATTTTTTAGGACCTGACATCGGGGAAAATGATTGGCAGTGCTAAGGAGGAGGATGGACTCTATATCTTTGATGGAGAAACTCAATCAAATAAAAGAGGCCCAAGAAATGCTTGTTTGCAAACTGTTTCTTTTTCAAATAACAATGATTTGTATTTACTTCATTATAGACTAGGACACCCTAGTTTCTATTATTTAAAAAGGATGTTTCCTAAATTATTTCTGAATATAAATGTTTCTTTGTTTCATTGTGATATGTGTGCACTTGCAAAACATCACAAAAACAATTATCTACCTCACAGTTATAAACCTACTAGTCCTTTTACCTTGGTACATAGTGACATTTGGGGTCCATCTAAAATACCAATTTTAAAGGGAAAGAGATGGTTTGTAACTATTATTGATGATCGATCATACACGAGTCACATGGGTATTTTTAATCAAAGAAAAATCTGAAGTTGAGAAAATATTTAGGGAATTTTATGCTATGGTCCAAACTCAATTCAGTACCAAAATTAAAATGGTAAGAAGTGATAATGGTCGTGAATATTTTTCTCAAACTTTAAACAATTTTTTTACTGAAAAAGGCATTATCTATCAAAGCTCTTGTGTCAATACACCAGCTCAAAATGGAATTGCAGAAAGGAAAAATAGGCATTTGCTTGAAGTCACTCGTGCAATCATGTTTTCAACAAACATACCAAAATATTTGTGGGGAGAGGTTGTGTTACATGCTACTTAATTAATTAATCACATGCCATGATGCCATCCAAAACTTTAGGATTTAAAAGTCTTATTCGTTCACTACAACACTTCTTTCCTACAAATAGATTGGTAAACACCTTTCCTTTAAAAAAATTTGGTTGCACAGTGTTTATAAAAAATCCAGATAGATCTGCAAGTAAATTTGATCCTAGCTGAAAAAATGTGTTTTTCTAGGTGTTTCAGCCACTAAAAAAGGGTATAAATGTTTTGATCCTACAACCAAAATAATGGTTGTTACAATGGATACTTTTTTGTGGAAGAAAACCCCTTTTTTTATTCTCATCTTCAAGGGGAGAAATTAAGTGAAGATGTTCCAATAGTGCCACATATTCATGAAAACCTTAATTTTCTTGATATTAATATGGATGATAATTCCTTTACAAATATCCGTACATCTGAAAATGATCAAGAAATAAATAATAATGAAGTAAATACAACTGAACCAATTGAAAAGGATCAACAGACAAGTCAATTCTTTGGAAAAGTTTATGAGAGGGGTTAGAAATCAAAGAATAGAGGAAGTCTAAGAACCTACAACTGTCCATGATTCTGACTCAATACCAGGAAGTGAAAAGGGTAATACTTCTAGTAACCTTGACCTTCCAATTGCTCTCAGAAAAGAGAGAAGAACATGTATTAAATACCCCATCGCAAACTATGTTTCTTATTCTAAATTGACCCCAACTTTTGCAGCCTTTACTTCCAATATTTCTTCTATTTCTATTCCTTTAACCATACAGGATGCTCTATCTAAACCTGAGTGGAAGAAAGCTGTTTTGGAGGAGATGGAGGCTCTTGAAAAGAATCAGACATGGAAGCTTGTAGAGTTACCTAAAAACAAACCTACAAAGGCTAAAAGTCCAGAACCAGCCAAGACTAATTGACTAATTTGGAGATGGAAATTTGGAGAGGTATAAGGCAAGACTAATTGCCAAGGGTTACACACAGAACTATGGAATTGACTACACAGAAACCTTTGCATCAATTGCAAAGTTAAACACTGTAAGAATTCTTTTATCTCTTGCTGCCAATTTAGACTGGCCATTACAACAACTGGATGTGAAGAATGCTTTTTTAAATGGGAAACTTGAAGAAGAAGTGTATATGGAACCTCCTCCTGGGTTTGAAAATAAGTTCGGGTCAAAAGTTTGCAAATTAGAGAAGGTTTTGTATGGACTTGAACAGTCTCCAAGAGACTGGTTTGACAGGTTCACAAAGTTCATAAAGAAGCAAGCATTTAATCAAGCTCAAGCAGACCATACTTTATTTATGAAGTTTTCAAGTAAGGGGGAGATTGCAATCTTAATTGTCTATGTAGATGATATTATCCTCACAGGAAATTATCACACAGAGACTAAAAGGTTGAAAGACAAACTTGCTCATGAATTCGAGATCAAAGACCTAGGAAATTTAAAAAAATCTAGGAATGGAGATAGCTAGATCAAAGAAGGGTATTGTTGTCTCACAAAGAAAATATATCCTAGATCTTCTACAGGAAACTGGAATGAGTGCCTGCAAACCAGCAGACACTCCAATTGGCCCAAGTCAGAAATTGGGAGATATAAAGGAGGGAATTCCAGTTAATATTTACAAATATCAAAGATTGGTGGGAAAATTAATATATCTGGCACACACAAGGCCAGATATTGCATTTGCAGTAAGTATGGTGAGTCAGTTTATGCATCATCCTCTCCAAGAACGTCTTGATGCTAGTTACAGGATTCTGAGATACCTGAAGAGCTGTCCAGGGAAGGGATTGTTTTTCAAAAAGGGAGACAGTAATCAATTGAAGCTTTCACTTATGCAGATTATGTTGGCTCAATATCTAATAGGAGATCTACTTCTGGATACTGTACCTATGTATGGGGAAATCTAGTAACCTGGAGAAGTAAGAAACAAAATGTGGTTGCTAGAAGTAGTGCAGAATCAGAATTCAGAGCTATGGCTAATGGAATATGTGAATTACTCTGGATCAAAAGAGTAATCACAGAACTGAAGATGGAGATTGAGCTGCCTATGAAGTTGTATTGTGATAATAAAGTTGCTATAAGTATTGCTCATAACCCTGTGCTACATGATAGAACTAAGCATATTGAAGTGGACAAATATTTCATTAAGGAGAAGATTAAAGCTTGAATCATTTGCACACCATTTGTATCCATTAAAGATCAAACGGCTGATATCTTCACCAAAGGGTTATTTAGACCTATATTTGAGCTGCTTGTGAGCAAGTTGGGAATGTATGATATATATTCACCAACTTGAGGAGGAGTGTAGAAAATGTTACGTTATTTTTTCTGATTAAATTGATGTACATTTTTAGTCAGATAGACTGTAGAAAATGTTACATTTATTATTTATTTTTAGATAGTGTAGGTGTGCAGCTGTAGAGATAAGATTGTAGAGTTGTTAGACTACATTAATTAGTAGATAAATATTGTAGTTAGATAGATCCTATTTTTTAGGATCTTCACACGGAGTTTGTTTATTGTACTTTGTATATATATCTTGGCCAGATGGCTCAGTTAATATCAAGGAAGTTTTATTACTAAAACTTACAGGTCTCATGACTCTCATCCATATATTTCCTATTGCATTTCCTTGTGTTATTATTCTATATCAGACTGTGTATTTTGATTCAGTCATCAATATATCTATATTTGGCTGGGGTTGTGAGTCTATCTATCAATAAACAATGCAAATCATCAAAGAAATAAACCAATTAATCAATTTCATAAATCAAATCAGTCCGACAGATGTAGAAGATTTTTATACTATGAACTAGGGGAAAACAAAAAAAACGAAAACCCGAAACCGACCAAAACCAAACCAAGCGAAACCGACCAAAACCAAACCAAACAAAACCGACCCAAACGAACTGACTAAACCAAAACCGACCAAAACTGACTAATCCATCAGTGGTTCGGTTTACGGTTTATACTTTTGGGTTAAAGAACTAATCAAACCAAAACCAGCCAAACATGCTAAAATCTACCGAAGGATACAAACTGATCAAAATCGACTCAAGTTTTGTGGTCCGGTTCTCGATTTCACTTGTTCTAAAAGTTCTTAAAACCGATCGACAAAAACTGAGCCAATTAAAAATCAACCAACTAAAAAACGAACTGACTAAAAACCTAACCGATAAAACCCAAACAGGTGAACACCCCTACTATGAACACCACTATCTATGTCTCAACTCTCAACTCTCTGTTTTTTGTCGTGGGTAGCTCATATTATACTTGGTAATATTTGTGACTTTATGTAATTTAAATTCATTCATATTTTGCAAATTCAATATTAACCACATAATTTCACCTTTTTAATATGCGTACCACCTTCTTCCAATCTAAAAAGATATTGAGATGGAGATCGTAAAGATTAACAAATCATGGATAAATTGATCGATTCAATTTACCGGTCCTTAGGGAGTGTTTGCAAAAAAAAATTAAGTGACTTTCAAGTGAAAGCTTCTTCGTAAATTAAGCACTTAAAGCTAATAGTTGGAAGCAAGTGGAGGGGTGGCAGGGTGCTTTAAACTATTTTTTTCTTCCTATGTTTAAAGGACCGGACTAGGCGGGTCAGCCCGGAACCCGGCGAACCGGCAATCAATCCAGTCCGGTTGTACTCTAACCCGTTAATTAAGTCAAAACCGGAAATAACTGGTAAACCAGCTTAACCCGCACCCGGCCCAGAGTGCTCAAACCCGGATACCCGGTAAAACCCGGCCTGCATGAAGAAAAAATGCCACGAAGGGGAATCGAACCACCTACCTCATGCTATGCATAGCAGCCATGCTACCAACTCATCTACAGCCTGTTGAAATACAATGCTTCTCACGCAATATTATTCTTTTGTAGATATCATTACATCATAAAGCTACTTTGATTAATAATATGAAATGAAAACTAATTATGCATACTATTGTTATTATGTACGAAGTACTATTAGAATATGTATTATATATTCCAAATATAAGTAAAAACACATCTATACAATGTTTATAACTTTGAATTAATGTTATGTTTATTTTTTTGTTCCTCTAATTTGATATGCATTCATGGTTTGGTTACAAATATTATTGTGGATTTACGTAAACAATGTTGTATTACATATATAATTTGAAGTATAATTAGTTAGAGTACGTTTAGTCTTTTAGGGATAAGATAGCTTAGTTGTTATTCTGTTCCTAGCATTTAGTTCTGATCCTATTTTTTAGGATCTGTAACCTCCTGTACATGTATATTTATACACCTCCCTGACTCTTGAATAATTAAGCTATTTCAATTATTCAAACCTACATGGTATCAGAGCTCTCTTTAGAAATAGCCGATCAAAAATTCAATGACTACTCCCGTATCCCAAACCAGCTCAAACACCACCCAACCTCTTGTGTCCTCTTCCACCTCTTCAGTAGAAGCAATTCATTCATCTATGCAGGTTACTGTTCATAGACTGAATGGAAGCAACTACTTGGAATGGTCTCAATCCGTAAAGTTGGCCATTGATGGTAGAGGCAAACTAGGGTTCTTGACAGGTGAGACCAAAGTCCCAGAACCTGATGAACCCAATTACAAGGTATGGCGATCGGAGAACTCCCTGGTCACTGCATGGCTGCTTAATTCCATGGATGCTTCAATAGCTAGATCCCATATGTTTCTCAAGACAGCGAATGAAGTCTGGGATGCTGTTCGTGAGACCTATTCAGATCTGGAAAGTTTCGCACAAACCTTTGAGCTGAAAACCCAACTATGGAAATCCAAACAGGGCCAGCGTGATGTGACCACTTACTATAATGAAATGGTCTCTTTTTGGCAGGAACTTGATCACTGCAACAATGATGTATGGTAGAACAAGAATGACCAAGCTCGCCAGAAGAAACGTGAAGAAAATGATCGTGTCTTTATGTTTCTTGCTAATGTGAATCAAAGCCTTGACGATGTCAAAGGTAGACTTCTTGGCCGTAGACCTCTTCCATCAATCCGTGAGGTCTTCTCAGAAGTTCGTCTTGAAGAGAATAGGCGCAAGATCATGAGCACGGACAAACATCTTATGGACAGTGACAACAATGCAAATGATGCCTCTGCACTGGTAGTTCGAAACAACGAACAAATCGGTGACAAGAAGAAGAAACCCTGGTGTGATTTCTGCAAGAAGTTGTGGAACACTCGTGATACATGCTGGAGGATTCATGGCAAACCACCAGGATGGAAACCTAAATCCGATCGAGCCCTTCACACCATGGTTGAACCCCCTGAAGTGCAACAAGTCAAATCAGAAACGGCCCAATTCACTCAAGGACAAATAGACCAAATCCTGAAAATCATATCTGAATCTGATAGAGCCTCTTCTGGTAATCTTATTTTATCACAATCTGTTCTAAATGGTAACTCTTATGTGTCTTCCTTTAGTTGTTTTCAAACTAAAACCCTGTGGAAAATAGATTTCGGGGCTTCTGATCATATGACAAATTGTTCCAGTTTATTTTATTCCTATAAACCAAGTGCTGGTAATAGGAAAGTCAAAATTGCCGATGGTTCTTACTCAACTGTTGTTGGTATTAGCAACATTAAAGTCTCTCCTTTCTTAACCTTGTCTAATGTGTTTCATGTTCCTAAGTTTTCATGCAACCTCTATCTATCAGTCAACTCACAAATGACCTTCATTGTTCTGTTAAGTTCACTTCCTCTTCTTGTGAGTTTCAGGAACCGGTCTCGGGAAAGATGATTGGCAGTGCTAGAGCAAGTGATGGTCTCTACATCCTAGATGATGAAACCAACTTAAATAAGGAAGCTCTAGGAAGTTCATGTCTGCAAACCGCTTCTGTTTTGAGTAATGATGAAATTTATTTGTGGCTTTTTAGATTAGGACATCCTAGTTTTTATTACTTGAGAAAATTGTTTCCAAATTTGTTTCGGAATAAAGATCCTTCAGTTTTCCAATGTGAGATTTGTGCTCTTGCTAAACATCACAAAAATACATATGCTTCCCATCCATATCAACCATCTAAACCATTTGCATTGATTCATACCGATATTTGGGGTCCCTCATGTATCACAACGTGTTATGGCAAAAGGTGGTTCATAACTCTAATTGATGATCACAGTAGAGTTTGTTGGGTATATTTGTTAAAAGAAAAGTCTGAAGTAGAGCAAATTTTTAAAAACTTCTACAACATGATACTCACACAATTTGACACTAAAATTCAAATTGTTCGAAGTGATAATGGTAGGGAGTATTTTGCACACTAAAACTCCAATTCAAATGCTAGAAAAGGAATTTCCTAATTCTAGATTAATAAGTTCTATGTCAATGAAGATATTTGGTTGCACAGTTTTTTTTCAAAATCCCAATAGAAATGCTGGGAAATTTGAACCAAAGGCTAGAAAGTGTGTCTATGTTGGAATAGCCCCTAACCAAAAAGGATATAAATGTTAGGATCCCACGGCTAGAAAACTATTCACAACAATGGATACACAGTTTTTTGAACATCAATCTTTTTTTGGAAATCCTTCTCAGGGGGGAGTCGAAATATTGAAATGAATCAAAATATGTCACAACCTTACAAAAATTTAAAAAGCATTGCAACCAATATTGATAGATCTCAGAACTTAGATTTTTATTTTTTGATCAAGGAACACAACATGAGTATGACGTTCAGTTGGAACCTTTAATGAATAAGCCAACAAGCACTGAAAATCGTAAAGAAATTGATTCACAATGCTCTGTGCAAAGTCAAACTCCTACCAAGGTCACTGAAAACTTGCATGAGAGTCCAATTCTTGAAAATTTGCATGAAAATCATTCTGAAAATAGGTTGCGGTTTCAGTCATCGAAGTTCTTTGGGCAGACATAAAAGAAGGAATTCTGATCAAAGAATAGAACTTGATACTACTCTTCATGGCCATGAATCAGACCCAAGATCAGAAGAACCATATCGTAAGTCTTCAGACCTTGATCTTCCCATAGCCTTAAGAAAAGAAAAACGCTCTTGTGTTAAATACCCAATGTCCAACTTTATCTCCCTCTCAAATCTGTCCAGCTCTTTTTCTGCCTTTACCACTAACATGACTCAAATTCAGATTCCTAGAAATATACAGGAAGCTCTAAATGTCCTAGAGTGGAAAAAGGCCGTTCTTGAGGAGATGAGTGCATTAGAAAGGAACCAAACATGGAAGGTTACAGAATTACCGAAAGGAAAGCCAACAGTAGGGTGCAGATGGATTTTTACTCCAAAATTCAATGCCAATGGAACTCTCGAACGCTACAAAGCCCGTTTAGTAGCCAAGGGATTCACACAAACTTACGGTATTGATTATACGGAAACCTTTGCTCCCGTTGCTAAACTAAATACCATTCGAATTCTGTTATCTATTGCAGCAAATTTGGACTGGCCATTAAATCAACTTGATGTTAAAAATGCCTTCTTAAATGGCAAATTGGAGGAAGAAGTCTACATGCTACCGCCACCCGAATTTGAAACAAAGTTCGTCTCTAAAGTGTGTAGATTGCAGAAGGCCTTGTACGGATTAAAACAATCTCCAAGGGCGTGGTTTGAGAGATTTACTGAAGTGGTGAAACAGCAGGGATATGTGCAGGCACAAGCTGATCACACTTTGTTCACTAAACATTCAAGAGATGGAAAGATGGCGGTTCTCATTGTCTATGTAGATGACATACTTCTTACTGGAGATGACCAAGTAGAAGTAACAAGGCTAAAGAAAAAGTTGGCACAGGAATTTGACATCAAGGATCTAGGCGAGATGAAATATTTTCTTGCTATGGAAGTAGCACGTTCCAGCAAAGGCATAGTTGTGTCACAACAAAAATATGTTCAAGACCTACTTGTGGATACAGGAATGAGTGGTTGTAAGCCAGTGGATACTCCAGTTGATGCAAATAAGAAATTAGGAGGAAATGGAGGGATTGAAGTCAACATTCAGCAATATCAGAGGCTGGTTGGTAGATTAATTTACTTATCTCATACCCGCCCTGACATAGTATTTGCTTGAGTGTGGTAAGTCAATTTATGCACAAACCACGTGAAGAACATCTTGAAGCTGCTTATAGAATACTTAGGTATTTGAAGGGTTGTCCAGTAAAAGGCCTTTTATTTTAAAAAGGAAAAAACAGGTCTGTTGTAGCCTTTACAGATGCTGATTATGCAGGATCGGTAACAGACAGAAGATCCACATCAGGTTACTGCACATTTGTATGGGAAACTTGGTCACCTGGCAGAGCAAGAAACAGACTGTTGTGGCTAGAAGTAGCGCCGAAGCAGAATACAGAGCCATGGCAAATGGAGCTTGTGAAATTGTGTGGATCAACAGAATACTCAAGGACTTAAAAATTGAAAACAGACCGCCCATGAAGTTGTTCTGTGATAACAAAGCTGTAATAAGCATAGCTCAAAATCCTGTACAGCATGACAGAACTAAACACATCGAAGTAGATCGGAATTTTATAAAGGAGAAACTCGAGAATGGAACATTCTGCATTCCATTTGTACCTTCACAAGATCAAACGGCAGATATTCTAACAAAGGGTCTATTTAAACCGACCTTTGATGTACTTGTTAGCAAGTTGGGAATGTATGATATATACGCTCCAACTTGAGGGGGAGTGTGGATTTACGTAAACAATGTTGTATTACGTATATAATTTGAAATATAATTAGTTAGAGTACGTTTAGTCTTTTAAGGATAAGATAGCTTAGTTGTTATTCTGTTCCTAGCAGTTAGTTCTGATCCTATTTTTTAGGATCTGTAACCTCCTGTACATGTGTATTTATACACCTCCCTGACTCTTGAATAATTAAGCTATTTCAATTATTCAAACCTACAATTATTAATTATGTACTACTCCATAGGGAATAAAAGTTTTTAAATTAGGAAGGAAGATATTGTTTTCTTTACAAATTTAATTATATTTTTTATAGAATATATATACCGTTGATCGGTTTAACCGGTCTTGACCGAGTCGATCCTCTGGGTCCGGGTTGACCCTTGACCCGGTAACTTGTCACGGTCGCCTCCCGGTCCGGTTTTTACAACATAGCTTTTTCTATTACACAAAAAACACATTTTTACCAAACATTATCAACTTTTACTTTTTCAAAAACAATTTAATATAGAAGCAATAACAAACACTTCCTTACCTTAAAATAAATAAATGAGAACGAAAACAAACATGAAACTAGTTATTGTACAAGGATATTGAAGCAAGGATATAGAACCTGGAATATGCGATTTAAGCATGAGATCTGTCCATCCTTCAAATATCCAGCGCTAAGCAGTTCTCGAAAAAAAAGAACGAGTTCAGAGCTCAAATTAGATACCGAAATGTTATGTATGATGCCCTGAATACAAGATTCATCAAACACTGAAGTGATCCATGGAGGAGTTTGCTTCATCCTCAGCAATGCAACGGCTACATGAATCGCTGGCTTGTGGTAGGCCGTGAAGGACTTTGATGCCAAGCGCGGAAAAGCCAAAGACATTGCCAATTCTTCCATGATCAGCCGAAACCAACTGTCTCTTTCAATTGCTGATACCTGTGTCTGCATACCTTGCCACCCAATGATCATTGACAAAGAAAGGGAGCAATTCATAGAAACTCCAATGTCGCTAGAGAAGATCAGGCCTTTTAGTATGACAATCACAGACAAGAGAAAAGCTTTTTCTAAGTTTATCTTATCTGGTTTTGTTACATATAATTCTGATGATAGTCTGTTAAAAATCTCCAGGAGGTTATAAGAGGCAACCAGTTTTACTCTAGAGGAGCCAAAATGAATCAACTTGCACAAGTCACGGCACTTTATGCTTATATATGGTAGAGGCTGTTTCAGGTTGCACTCACTCTCATCAAGAAGATGCCGGCAGTCCACGATCCCTGGTAAATTGGCATACCCACTAATTCAACAAAAGTATTAGTTAAGTAATAAAGTGGAGGGAGTTTGGTGCTTTCATATGAAAGTTGGATATGCAAGTAACTTTTGGTGGAATTCTGATACGGGACTATGAGTTTGTAATCTTACCACTAATTTATTGCAAAAGTGTGTTTTATATGTTTGGTTTAATATTACTTTCTAAAAAATGAAATTACATTTTTCCAGCTTTCCCTCTATGTAATACATAAAATACGATTAGGGATGCAATCTAGTAACTTACAAGAACTTATTATATTCACACACAATAACACAAATCTGGAGGCTCTCCTGTCCAAGTCGGACAGGCTTATCCTGACTGAGATACTTTCAACAATTTCAATTAGATACGAACTTACAATGTCAAAAAGGGCTAGGTGATAAGCAGGCTATGAGGAAAAAATGAAAAATCATAGGGATCGAAAGAAGAATAGCACCTTAGGCAATTTAATTAGAATATAGATTAGAAAGTGTAGAATAAGGTTACATTATTAGAAAAATGTTACATTATTTTTTCTGATTAGATTGATGTACATATTTAGTCAGATAGACTTAGTTAGTTGTAGATAAGCTCATAGTTATCTAGATCCTAATTTTTAGGATCTGTACTAGATAGTAGTTATCTGTACAAAGTGTATTTATACTCTGGCCGTATGGCTCATTCAATCAAGGAAGTTTTATTACTAAAACTTACATGGTATCAGAGCAGGCCGTTTAAACACCACAATGGTGGAAACCGAGCACTCTGACTCTTCTCTCCACTCACAAACCCATAACCCTAACTCCCAAAATAGCCTAATGACAAACTACCACACCTCAGTTCATTCATCTATGCTCATTACTGGCCATAGATTGAATGACACAAATTATCTCAAATGGTCACAGTCTGTCAAACTGGCTATTGATGGAAGGGGCAAGCTAGGGTACATAACTGGTGAAATAAAGGAGAAACAAACTGGTGATGATGGCTACAGTGTCTGGAGGTCAGAAAATTCCTTGGTGACAGCATGGCTTCTAAGTTTAATGGATGCATCAATTGACAAACCTCACATGTTCATGAAAACTGCAAAGGAGGTATGGAATTCCATTAAGGAAACTTACTCAGATCTTGAGAACTCTTCTCAGATTTTTGAATTAAAAACCAAGTTGTGGCAGTCCAAACAAGGAAATAGAGATGTCATCTCTAACTATAATGAGATGATATCCCTATGGCAAGAGTTGGATCAGTGCCATGATGAAGAGAAGTGGGAGAGTGCCAAGGATCTAGCAAGACACCAAAAAAGGGAGGAAAATGATAGGGTCTACATGTTCCTAGCAGGAATTAATAGAGATCTAGATGAAATTAAGGGGAGAATACTTGTAAAAAACCTCTACCCTCTATCGGGGAGGTATTTTCTGAAATCAGGATGGAGGATAGCAGGAAGAAGGTTATGTACATCATTCCAGTACATAATGAGGAATCTGGGGACTCTTCAACAATGGTGGCTAGGAGTGATGACAAGAAAAAACCCTGGTGTGATCACTGCAAGAAATTATGGCACACTAGGGAGACTTGTTGGAAAATTCATGGCAAACCACCAGGAGCAGGAAAGAAAAAAACTGAGAAGGCCCTACAAACAACTGTGACTGAGACTCAACAAGAACCACAAGTCAAATTCAATCAACTTTCATTCACTCAGGAGCAGATACGGCAACTTCTTAACTTCCTTAATTCCCAGAAAACCTAAAATTCCCAGAAAGAATCCAAACCAGAATCTTCCTCTTGTTCTTATGCCCAAAATGGTACTTATTCATTATTTTTATGTTCTGGGAAATCTAAAAATTCTTGGGTTATTGACTCAGGGGCTACTGATCACATGACCTCTCTTTCAAATCTTTTTTCTTCATATAAACCTAGTGCAGGGGATAAAAAGGTTAAGGTTGCAGATGGTTCTCTATCAGCCATTGCAGGGATGGGAAATATAAGTATTTCCTCATCACTGAATCTATCCAAAGTTCTTCATGTCCCTAATCTATCCTGCAATCTTGCTTCAGTTAGTCAAATAACAAAAGATCTACAATGTTTGTGTTATTTTTTATCATTCTTATTGCATTTTTCAGGACCTGGCATCGGGGAAGATGATTGACAGTGCTAAAGAGGAGGATGGACTCTATATCTTTGACGGAGAAACTCAATCAAATAAAAGAGGTCCAAGAAATGCTTGTTTGCAAACTGTTTCTTTTTCAAATGATAAAGATTTGTATTTACTTCATTATAGACTACGACACCCTAGTTTCTATTATTTTAAAAAGATGTTTCCTCAATTATTTCTGAATAAAGATGCTTCTTTGTTTAATTGTGATATGTGTGCACTTGCAAAACATCACAGAAACACTTATTTACCCAACAGTTAGAAACCTACTAGTCCTTTTACCTTGGTACATAGTGACATTTGGGGTCCATCTAGAATACCAACTTTAAAGGGAAAGAGATGGTTTGTAACTATTATTGATGATCATACTCGTGTCACATGGGTATTTTTAATCAAAGAAAAATCTGAAGTTGAGAAAATATTTAGGGCATTTTATGCTATGGTCCAAACTCAATTCAATACCAAAATTAAAATGGTAAGAAGTGATAATGGCCATGAATATTTTTCTCAAACTTTAAACAACTTTTTTACTGAAAAAGGCATTATCCATCAAAGCTCTTGTGTCAATAAACCAGCTCAAAATGGAATTACAGAAAGGAAAAATAGACATTTGCTTGAAGTCACTCGTGAAATCATGTTTTCAACAAACATACCGAAATATTTGTGGGGAGAGACAGTGTTACATGCTACTTAATTAATTAATCGCATGCCATCCAAAACTTTAGGATTTAAAAGTCCTATCAGTTCACTACAACATTTCTTCCCTAAAAATAGATTGGTAAACACCCTTCCTTTAAAAATTTTTGGTTGCACAGTGTTTATAAAAAAATCCAGATAGATCTGCAAGTAAAAAAGGGTATAAATATTTTGATCCTACAACCAAAACAATGGTTGTTACTACGGATACTTTTTTTGTGGAAGAACAACCTTTTTTTATTCTCATCTTCAGGAGAGAAATTAAGTGAAGATGTTCCAATAGTGCCACATATTCATGAAAACCTTAATTTTCTTGATATTAATCTGGATGATAATTTCTTTAGAAATATCAGTACACCTGAAAATGATCAAGAAATAAAAAATAATGAAGAAAATCCAACTGAACCAGATGAAAAGGATCAACAGACAAGTCAGTTCTTTGGAAAAGTTTATGAGAGAGGGTTAGAAATCAAAGAATAGAGGAAGTCCAAGAACCTACAATTGTCCATGATTCTGCCTTAATGCCAGGAAGTGAAAAGGTAATACTTCTAGCAACTTTGACCTTCCAATTGCTCTCAGAAAAGAGAGAAGAACATGTGTTAAATACCCCATCTCAAACTATGTTTCTTATTCTAAATTGACCCCAAATTTTGCAGCCTTTGCTTCCAATATTTCTTCTGTTTCTATTCCCTCAACCATAAGGATGCTCTATCTAAACCTGAGTGGAAGAACGCTGTTTTGGAGGAGATGGAGGCTATTGAAAAGAATAAGACATGGAAGCTTGAAGAGTTACCTAAAAACAAACCTACAGTTGGTTGCAGTGGATTTTCACTCCCAAGTTTAAGGCAGATGGAAGTTTGGAGAGATATAAGGCAAGACTAGTTACCAAGGGTTACACACAGACCTATGGAATTGATTACACAAAAACCTTTGCACCAGTTGCAAAGTTAAACACTGTAAGAATTCTTTTATCTCTTGCTGCCAATTTAGACTGGCCATTACAACAACTGGATGTGAAGAATGCTTTTTTAAATGGGAAACTTGAAGAAGAAGTGTACATGGAACCTCCTCCTGGGTTTGAAAATAAGTTTGGGTCAAAAGTATGCAGATTAGAGAAGGCTTTATATGGACTTAAACAGTCTCCAAGAGCCTAGTTTGACAGATTCACAAAGTTCATAAAGAAGCAAGGATTTAATCAAGCTCAAGCTGACCATACTTTATTCATGAAGTTTTCAGGTAAGGGGGAGATTGCAATCTTAATTGTTTATGTAGATGATATTATCCTCACACGAAATTATCACACAGAGACTAAAAGGTTGAAAGACAAACTTGCTCATGAATTTGAGATCAAAGACCTAGGAAATTTAAAAAATTCCTAGGAATGGAGATAGCTAGATCAAAGAAGGGTATTGTTGTCTCACAAAGAAAATATATCCTAGATCTTCTACACGTAACTGGAATGAGTGCCTCCAAACCAGCAGACACTCCAATTGACCCAAGTCAGAAATTGGGAGATATCAAGGAGGGAATTCCAGTATATCTGGCACACACAAGGCCAGATATTGCATTTGCAGTAAGTATGATGAGTCAGTTTATGCATCATCCTCTCCAAGAACATCTTGATGCTACTTACAGGATTCTGAAATACCTGAAGAGCTGTCCAGGGAAGGGATTGTTTTTCAAAAAGGGAGACAATAGGACAATTGAAGCTTTTACTGATGCAGATTATGCTGGCTCAATATCTGATAGGAGATCTACTTCTGGATAATGTACCTTTGTATGGGGAAATCTAGTAACCTGGAGAAGTAAGAAACAAAATGTGGTTGCTAGAAGTAGTGCAGAATCAGAAATCAGAGCTATGGCTAATGGAATATGTGAGTTACTCTGGATCAAACGAGTAATCACAGAACTGAAGATGGAGATTGGGCTGCCTATGAAGTTATATTGTAATAATAAAGCTGCTATAAGCATTGCTCATAACCTTGTGCTACATGATAGAATTAAGCATATTGAAGTGGACAAACATTTCATTAAAGAGAAGATTGAAGCTAGAATCATTTGCACACCATTTGTATCCACTAAAGATCAAACAACTGATATCTTCACCAAAGGGTTATTTAGACCTATATTTGAGGTACTTATAAGCAAGTTGGGAATGTATGATATATATTCATCAACTTGAGGGGGGAGTGTAGAAAAATGTTACATTATTATAAAAATGTTACATTATTTTTTCTGATTAGATTGATGTACATATTTAGTCAGATAGACTTAGTTAGTTGTAGATAAGCTCATAGTTATCTAGATCCTAATTTTTAGGATCTGTACTAGCTAGTAGTTATCTGTACAAAGTGTATTTATACTCTGGCCGTATGTCTCGTTCAATCAAGGAAGTTTTATTCCTAAAACTTACGGATAGGAAAGGAAATGCTTGCAAGTATAAACTTCAATAGGGAAGTACTTGCCTTCTAAATGCGAAAAATAATAATGCAAGCACAGAAATTAGAACTTCCCCGATCTCTGTAGCTTGATCATGGTCGAGAAGAGCAGGTCCCTTACAGCATGCTTCAGTAATTGTGTTGCTGAGCATTTGTACCAAAGGGGCACTCAAGAGTATGCTTTTTGAAGCTTCAACCAGTTTCTGATTTATAGAATGATGTAGGATCATTGAAAAAATTCCAATTATTATGAGAGTTTCCATGCTCCATCCATCAGCAGTTACAGATGGTATGAGGAAATCCAACAACTGCAGAATAACATATACATTACTGACCTAGAGTATGTTTGAATCGCTAGATATGCTATGGAAAATAAAAGGAATCCTAAAAAGGGGAAGTCTGGTGCACATTGGAGTCCCCGCAAGGCGAGGGTCCGGGGAAGGGTCCCACCACATGGGTGTCTAAGGAGCAAGCCTTCCCTTGTCATTTAACAAGAGGCTTGATTTGAACCTGTGACCTCTCGGTCACACAACAAAAGATTATTTTCTTAAGTTTGATTTCATGTTGGTAAATGCCAAGATGCATAGAAAAACAAATCTGTACTTCAAAAAAAATGCATATTTTTAGATTTCTTCGTATTTATATAAAAGAGAAAAAAATAGTTTCCTACTAATTTCCAGGTTCCGACAGACCCTCCAACTGTTGAGAATCAGACTACCTACAATAGTTACTGTGCAAGTTATTTATCTTTAGATGAATTTTGAAAGGAACCTCTATTTCATATAATAAATTAGACCTTACACGTACATATCTATACACGAGAGAATGAGTTTAGTTTTGTAACTAACTAATGCTATGACTAGGGATATAATTACTCCTATCTCCGCAACGGAGGAATAGAATAAATATATGCTATAATAATAATCATAATAATGACAAATATATATACATATATATATGTATGTATGTATGTATATGTCAACCTATACGATTCAAATACCTTCACTACTATGCCAACCCATTTATCCTCTTCAGAAATTGACTCAGACTGTACTGCTTGTAGAATCATAAAAGTTAGTTCTGAAATAGACATGAACAAATCTGGAGAAAAAGAATATCTGGACTGATGATAAAACTTCTCAATCGCAGATGATATCCCATGCAAGCATAACTGATCTGAAGCAGATGGCGCTATTTCAATTATGTCATGTATTGCTCTTAAAACCAGACCGGTGTCAATCTCTTTGTCAAATTCATCTGCCAACTCTTCTAAGACACTAACAAAGAGCATTCCAGCAAAGTTATCCCCAGATGCTATAAGATCTGCTACAACATGTAAATCTACATTTTGCTGTCCTTTCAAGTCGTCGTATGATCTGAAAAAATTCAGAATCTGGAGAGACAACAGTTTGCAAATTCTCTCTTGTTGGAACAGCCATTTCAAAGATGTTGGGCTGATTTTTGTGGTCAGCAAATTCCAATTCTTTTCAGCTAATAGATGAAACATGATCCTCTCAGCCTCTAGGCTGTAAGAAATTTGGTAGCTGATTTTGGCTAGAGCCCTATACAGTGCGTAGAGATTTACAAGTAGTTTCAACATCCGGGGGGGAAAAGGTCCATACAAACATTCATTGCTATTGAGTATGATAAATTGTTCCAGCGAAGCTAAGACAAGCTTATCATCAGCAATCCTGAGAAGCATTTGAATTATAAGGCAAAGCTAACTGAGGAATCATGTTTAGGGGTCCGTTTGCAGCAATGATAATACTAGGGAAAGAAAATAGGGACGAAATTAGAGAGGGTAATTCAGGAGAATATAAAAAATAAGTTCAAACCCAATAAATTCATTTTAGATGTTCAAACTCATTTTATTTATATATTTATATTATTTGAAGACTAAGAAAATTGCATATATGTAAATAAAGTAATCATATTTTACTTTTCTTTGCACTTCCCCAATGTAATGTCAAACATAAGAAAACAATTTTGCTTAACATTTTTTTCATTTCCCTAGTATTTTTCGAACATACTCTAGAAATATAAATGCTAAAGAACAAGCAATATATATGTATGTATATATATATATATATATATATATATATATATATATATATATATATATATTACCTATCATCACTGAAAGAGCTGATGTGCAATAAAATCAGCACAGCATATTGGCATGAAGACAGCTCATGATTTTGGGAGCTTTTCTGGCCAATAAGGAAGAACAAATTCACTGGGTCAGATGGTAAATGAGGGGCAGCATCCCTAATACACTTCCCAGAATCATCATCTCCTATAAGAGCCTCAGACAATGAGCTGAACAAAAAATAAACCCTCAGTTTCATTTTTTCTGTCGGAAATAAGCCTAATGCACCAAATGAAAAACTGAACCAGGAAGATGAGAGCAGAATATTTGCAAATGTCTTGGTTCCCGTATTATAGTCTTGCAGCAGTATTGCATGAAAAGTTTCAAACACTGCCGATGCAATGTCCTCATCCTCAATATCATTAAGGGCCCTCATAAACCAAGGCAGTATTTGTGTTTTACATACGTCTATGATCCCCTCTCTTAATTCTGTGCATATGGAGCCTGTCAAATTTTCCCCATGACTGTAAGCATATGCCTCTTTCAGCAGGTAAAGGGAGTGCAACAATTGACTTGGTTGTTTATCATAATGGCTTAAACTCGTTAAAACAGCATTTCTTGGTGCATCTTGAATTGACATGAGGAAACTTGAAATCCCCTGGGTAGCTGAACATTTCATAAGAGCAACAAGTATTGAACAAACCAAAGCAAATGTCCTGGGTAACATTCCAGCATCCCCGTCAATATTTTTCTTTAACATCCTGCTCAAGATCAAGCTTATTTCTTCAAAGTGAGATTTGGATACTATCCCTGGCCAGTTTGTTACACAACTCCATATGAGCTTTAGTGTCTCAGTTTGAACAGGGTGAAAAGGCACATCACCAACATGTTGAAGAATGGCAACCAGGGTTGTCAATCCAGTAGCTAATCTTTGTAGAAATGTTTTTTCAGCAGTAGATAAAACATCAAGGACCTGAATGCAACCATTAATCAGAGGACCTTTGCACTCTGCAAATTTGTACAGTAAATTAAAAAGGGGGGGCAACAAGATCATGAGTAATTATGACATCCACATGTTTTTAAGTTAATTGATCTGACTACTACATAATCAAACTTTTAAAATATCAGTAAATAAACTCATCATTATCATTACCCCAGTGCCGCAAAGGCTCCCACCTATGGTGGGGTAAGGGGGTCAGATGCACGCAGTCTTACCCATGTACTAAAGCACAAAGAGACTGTTTCCAGATGAGCCATAGTGAAAATCGCGTTGAAAATTGCATGAACTGACTGCTGCTTCATAACAAAGAAGCGCAAAAAGTTTAGTGAGCCATTTTGTTTTATTCCATCATATTCCCAAGCCAAAAAATAGTGAGTTTTTGGCTCCATTGCAAATGATGGAAATTATCAGTAAATAAACTAATTCAACTAAATCTTAGCACCAAACAATTAGGTTGCAAGGTGTCTAGTAATGAGCAATATGGCAGAGAATAAATGAAACTCTTTACAAGAAGCCTAGAATAAGAATGTTTGCTGTTTCATCACCTTTTGTTTGGGATGACTCAACTGACAACCTCAATATTTCAAATGCATAATCTGCAATGTTTTGCTCCACAAACACTTCAATTTCTTTCCCCGAGACTTCTTCCCAAGAGAGAAAAAGATAGAGCAAGTCCAGTGTTACAACTTGCACTTGATTATCTGAAGAAAGCAGAGGACCTTTGACAGCCTCAGCAAACAGGTTAACTAGAGGAGGATTGAGGATTGTATATTCTGATGTTGGAATCAAATTTTGAGCAGAGATAATGTTCCTCCTTGCATCATTGACGGATATAGTCTGGAACAAGCCTTTCTTGGCCAATACTGTCAGAAGTGCTAAGCATACAAACAAGAAAAGGTTATAAGATAAAACAAACTAGCAATTAATACATCGCAGATGCACATGTTTTTTAGCTCCCGGTAGGCAAACCACCTAAGTCGGTGGGGCAAACGCCGGGGAACATTTGCCAGGTTTCATTAAGAAATGAATAAGTACAGAAGAAAGAGGGGGACTAGGCCAAAAACTCTTCACATTCCTTCTCAAAACATATAAACAGACAAAAATCAAACAGTCGCAGATGCACATGTTATGTACCGGGACTCTTTGCATCATGGGAGTGAAATATAAATGATAACCGGATAGGGGCTGTGGAAATTTGGGGTGTTTTCCTTCTTAATTTCTCCTTAATTTTTTATTGGTGTTTTATTAGCATAGCAAAGCTCCTTTTTATAAGAAGGATTACATGCATTACAATGCAGAAGACAAAGAAAGGAAAGCCCTTCAGAATGACTTCCTAAAATAGATTAACTAATTAAGGTATTCTACTTGGTTACTCTGTTTACCTTTCCATAATATTATACTTGAATTTACTGATTTGAATGAATTTGCTTGAGAGAAATTTACTCTCATCTCATCTTTATTTATACAACAACATCCAAGCCTTATTCCCAAAAGATTTTGGGGTCATCTTTATATAAGGTTCATAATTACAAGGAAAGAATCATATCAATTTATGAGGGAAATAGAGATTTCCCAATTTACATCAATCAGCTAATAATTTTTTATTTGATACAATTTGTACAATAATTCAATAAATAATATTTCAAAAAAAATTAATAAATAATAAAATGAGGAAGGGTCTCACTTAGAATCATATCATATCTCAACACTCCCCCTCAAGCTGGTGTGTAGCTATCATATCCGTCAAGTTTGTCACAAATATATCTTACCTTAGGACCTCAAAGTGATTTAGTGAGAAAATCAGCTAACTGGTCATTTGAATTGACAAAGGATGTGAAGATTTCTCCAGAGATGACCATTTCACGGATAAAATGATGATCGATTTCTATATGTTTTGTCCATTCATAGAAGGCAGGGTTAGAAGCAGTGTATAAAGCTACTTGATTATCATAGACCAGTTTTAAAGGCTTCAATTTGCAAAACTTTAACTCAGAAAATAACTGCTTCAGCCATATAAGTTCACAAGTAGTAAGACTGTAAGAGCCATGGCTCGATACTCTGCTTCTGCACTTGATCTAGCAACAACACTGTTTCTTTCTCTTCCAGGAGATAAGATTTCCACCAATGATCTCCTATCATTTGGACATTGATCTTCTATCATTTGGACAATCGGCTCAATATGCATCTAAAGATGCAGTAATATTGTCATAACCCCGATTCACATTAGCTAGTCCTCTTTCGGGTGAACCTTTGATGTATCTTAGAATTCGAACAACCGCATCCCATTGACTATCAATGGTGTGTTGAGGAACTGACTCATCACACTCCCCGCAAAGGAGATGTTTAGTCTAGTCATAGTGAGATAATTTAATTTCCCCACAAATCGTCGATATCTTCCAGGATCGGAGATGGTCTCCTAATCTGGAAAAAGTCGAACATTTGGATCAATTGAAGTATCAATCGGCTTACCATCTATCATCCCGGTTTCCTTCAAAATATCAAGAGCATATTTTCTTTGAGATATGGCAATGCCAATTCTGAATTGAGCTACCTCAATTCCAAGAAAGTGACGAAGTCGTCCGAAGTCTTTTGTTTGAAATTGCTGAGAGAAGTACTGTTTGAGATTCTGTATGCCATCGAGATCATCTCCTCTTATAGTCTTATTACAATATCATCGATATAAACAAGGTACGTAGATTGATTAGATAAAGACCTTTTTATGAAACACAGTATGGTCTGGTTTGCATTGAATCATCCCAAACTGTTTGAGAGCCATATTGAATCTGCTAAAACATGCTCTTGGGGACTCTTTAAGACCATAAAGGCCTTATGCAACCGACACACAAATCCACACCCCTCTTGAGCAACAAACCCAGGTGGTTGCTCCATGTAATGTTTTGCTTTTAAGTTACCACGAAGGAATGCACTTTTTATGTCCTATTGATGTAAGAGCTAGCTACTTTAGCTGCCATAGATTAGAACACACACGGAAGCCATCTTTGCAACGGGAGAAAAAGTGTCGGCATAATCCAAGTCAAAAATTTGAGTAAACCCTTTGTCAACCAAACGAGCTTTCAGCCGGTCGACTTGTCCATCAGGACCCACTTTGATTGTAAACACCCAGCGGCAACCAATAGTAGATTTCCTAGGAGGCAGGAGAACTTCAAAGGCAACTATCTCATCAAGCATAGTTTGGCGCCATCCTGGATGGGCAAGAGCTTTATGGAAAGTTATAGAAATGCAAGCATAAGAGATGGAAGACACAAAATTAAAATGGAAAGGAGATAGGTGATGATAACTAAGACAATTGTAAATAGGATGAGGGTTCTGAGTGGAACATGTAGATAGAGAAGTATGGAAATGTTTTCTATATTTCAAATAAACAGAGGATGCTGAATATATACAGGAGTATAATAGCTAATCTAGGAAAGTGTATATTCTATACTTAATGACTAGAATCTACATTAATTATGCATATATACTGCTGGAACAGATCTCTAACATAATCTACTTTGATTGACCATATATACAGCTGCAATATCTTTAACACTCCTCCTCAAGTTGGAGCGAAGATATTAATCATGCCCAACTTGCAACAAATAAAATCTATCTGTGATTTACGGAGTGGCTTCGTAAAAATGTCTGCGAGTTGATGTTCAGTCCTGACATGCACCGGTATGATCGATGGAAGGTTTGATTGTGTGCCAACCACATGATCTCTGATTAAGTGGCAATCAACTTCAATGTGTTTGGTCCTCTCATGAAACACTTGATTCTTGGCTATATGAATAGCGGACTGGTTATCACAATAAAGTCTCATCAAATTATTAGAATACACTCCAAAAGCTCTTTGAGTAATCTTTTAACCCATATCATTTCACATCAAACATCTGCCATGGCTCTATATTCTGACTCTGCACTTGATCGAGAGACAATGTGATGTTTCTTGCTTTTCCAGGACACTAAATTTCCACCAACAAAGACACAATATCCAGTAGTTGACCTTATGGAAATAGGACAGCCAGCCCAATCCGCATCCGAGAAACCCGATGTCCTGCCATCTCCTTCTTGTAAATGCACCTACTCGACAATGACCCTGATCAGAATAGAGTATTCTCCTAAGCCCGGTGTGGCTTTGAGATACCTCAAAACACGAAGAGCTGCATCCCAATGGCCTGGGTATGGATCAGACATGAACTGGCTCAAGACACTTACCGGAAATGATATGTCAGGCTAGGTAACCGTTAGACAATTCAGTTTCCCGACTAGTCTCCTGTAATGCAAATGCCGGCTGACCAATTGACAACAAGGATTTTGCCATTCAAGCCCTGGAAGGTCTTTATCCCGAATGTGAAGCTATGGAGAATTCCATTCGTCCAGATGAGGTTACGTTTGAAGATCTGCACTCGCTACTCGTTGGCTTCGAAGATAAGATGCGCAGGAAAGAAGCCTTGAATCCCACCACCGTCGTCGTAACTACGAACGCAGCTGTTGTTGAAGAGAAGAGCAAGGGTAGCGTTTCTGCAGTTATGGTCGTTCGCAGGACTCCAGATAAGCACACATCTATTTTAGGCCCAGGTCCAGTAACTCAAGTTCAGCATCTACCCAGCAGGCCCAATACTCAGATTCAAAATTTTGGATGAAGTCAGAATAGAGGTCAACGCCCCAACAATTTTTACAATTCCGGTCGGCGTGGAAACAGTAATCCCGGGGGCATCAATAATCACCTGGGCGGGAGTACCATATTTGGGGTTAATACCAGGTCAAGTTCGGTTATTATATGTCAAATTTGTGGCAAACCGAACCATATGGCTATTAATTGTTGGCACAGGTTTGAACAACAAAATTACACGCCCCAAGCCAATACTGCCACGACCAGGAAAAATGGATGGTTACTCGATTCGGGGGCAACTAATCATGTCACCAATAATTTAAATAACTTCACCTTGGCGTCCAATTACACCGGCACAGACTCCCTAATTATTGGTAACGGTAAAAGTCTTGCGATTGCACAAGTTGGAAATATGATCCTTCATTCTCTATCCCTACCTAATACTCTTTTTGTCCCTTCTATTCATACTAACTTAATTTCTGTTGCTAAATTATGTTGTGATAATGATGTACTAATCGAATTTCACACTTGTTTTTGTCTTGTTAAGGACCAGAAAACGGGAGCAATTTTGTTACGGGGTATGAATAACGGTGACGTCTACAGCTTGCCTGATGTTCCAGTTCCTGCGTCTCCAAGTGTTAACATTACTACAAAATTTTCTCTAAATAAATGGCATTGCCATTTAGGACATCCTGCCCTTCCTGTCACTCAAAAAATTATTTCCTCATTAGGTATTAATTTTAAAGATGTTATTAAGAATCTGATAGAGTATATATCTAGAGAGAAGTGGGAGCTAGAGAGAGAAGTGCAAGTAAATGCTTCAATACAATGATTTTGTAACCCCTACAACTACCTCCAGAGGAAGTATTTATAGGAAAAATACGAGCTGGGCTCCCGAGCCTTGGGCTTGGGAGGCCCATTTACAACTGGACCGTTATTGGGTCGAATACAAAGTAAATGATGGGATATATAAATGAATAAGTGTAAAATCTAGTTCTGTGAGACTTCCGTGGCCGACGAGGGTCTGGCCGATGAGGGCACGGCCGATGAGGACACCCTGGTTCCCTGGCTTCAGGATCATATTCTGAGTCGGTCCCTCTTCGGCCGACGAGGGCACTGCGTAGTGGCTTGTACTTTCTGTTCTTCTGAGTATGTGGGTCCTGGGGCCTAGACCCATATACCCCATCAGGAGTCCCCCACTCTCTAAGCTGAGATGTAGACGAAGTGAAGGAGAGTAGATTTCTGTGCTTGATGCTCTTGGCC